TTTTCTCCCTAGTATTGTTTCTTACTTTAGTCACATTTTTCCCAAGATTTATTCATGTTTTTCCAAGATTTTATATATAGCATCATACAACTTTGGAATTTGTTATAATTCTATTTAAATACAGTTGAAAGAATGTTAGATTTTGTTCTTCAAGATAGTAGCTACATATAAACTTACAGGTATTTTTGCAGTGTGTATTTGAAAGTATAGAAATATTTTAATGTTCATGAAGTCAGAATTCCTCTTTAAGGGGGTAGGAGGGCTTAAGTGTTGAAAATAGGCCCCAGGGTTTTTTTTTTCTTTCTGTCTTTCTGTCTTTCTTTCTCTTTCTTTCTGTCTTTCTTTCTGTCTGTCTGTCTTTCTTTTTGTCTGTCTTTCTGTCTGTCTTTCTGTCTGTCTGTCTTTCTTTCTGTCTTTCTTTCTGCCTTTTTCTGTCTTTCTTTCTGTCTTCCTGTCTTTCTGTCTGTCTTTCTTTCTGTCTTTCTTTCTGTCTTTCTGTCTTTCTCTTTCTGTCTTCCTTCCTTCCTTCCTTCCTTCCTTCCTTCCTTCATTCATTCCTTCCTTCCAACTTTCTGTCTTTCTGTCTTTCTGTCTTTGCTAATACTGAGAGTATCTGTCTCCAGAGCAAGGATCAACAAGATTTAGCTGTTCCTTCTCATTGTCTTATTACCAACTTCTCACCCCCACAAACCTTACCCCAACCCTTTCTCCTCTGTAGTATTGGGAGACAAGAGGGCCATAGTGATTTATTGGAAAGTGGTTTTTTTTCCTCCCTCCCCTCCCCTCCGCTCCCCTCCGCTCTCCTCTGCTCTCCTTTCTTTGAAAGGCAGACAAAGAGAGAGAGGTCTTCCATCAACTGATTCACTCCGCAATGGCCGCAACAGCCAGAGCTGGGCCAATCCGAAGACAAGAGCCAGGAGCTTCCTCCGGGTCTCCCACATGGGTGCAAGGACCCAATGACTTAGGCCATCTGCTGCTGCTTTCCTAGGCCATAGCAGAGAGCTAGATTGGAAATAGAGCAGCCTGGACTCAAACTGGTGGCCATATGGAATGCTGGCACTGAAGGCGGCAGCTTTACCCGCCACACCACAGCACCAGCCCTGGAAAATGTTTTAAATATACTACATAAATAATCAAGCTTAGGTACTTCTCCTATCTTTGAGTGGGTAGTTTGATTTTGCTTATGTCATTGTAATAATTTTGAAAGGATGAAGTAAGGATTGTTTGCTAATAATGAAAAAAACCAGAGCCTAGAAAATTGGGTAGAAAATCAACTCTGTTGGTGGCGATGCTGTGTCATAGCTGGCTAAGCTTACGCTGCCTGTGATGTGTGCATCCCATATGGGCACCTGTTTGAGTCTTGGCTGCTCCACTTCGCAATGCAGTTTCCTGCTAACGTGCATGGGCAAGCAGCAGAAGAATAGCCCAAGTGCTTGGGCCCCTGTACCCAAGTAGGAGACCCAGATGAAGCTCCTAGCTTTGGCCTGCGGCCATTCAGAGTGAACCAGTGGGTGGAAGATCTCTGTCTCTCTCTCTCTCTGTAATTCTTATTTTCAAATAAGTAAATAAATAAATCTTAAAAAGTTGGGGGGTGGAGGAGAGGGACCCAGCGTTGTGACGCAGTGGGCTAAGCCACTGCCTGCAGTGCTGGCATCCTATTATGGGTGCCAGTTTGAATCCAGGCTGTCCCGCTTCTAACCCAGCTCCCTGCTATGCACCTGAGAAGACAACAGAAGATGGACCAAGTGCTTGGACCCCTGGACCCATGTGGGAAACCCTGAAGAAGCTCCTGGCTTCACCCTGGCCCAGACCCTGCTGTTGTGGAAATTTAGGGAGTGAATCAATGCATGGAAGACACCCCCCCCATATCTACCTTTCAAGAAAATAAAATGAATCTTTAAAAAAGCTCTCTAATAAATAGCATAAACTCTAGAGATTACTGTATTGAAAATTATGCCGTGGGGCCGCTGCTGTGGCGCAGCAGGTTAATGCTCTGACCTGAAGTGCCAATATCCCATATGGGCGCCGGTTCTAGTCCTGGCTGCTCTTCTTCTGATCCAGCTCTCTGCTATGGCCTGGAAAAGCAGTAGAAGATGGCCCAAGTCCTTGGGCCCCTGCACCAAGTGGGAGACCTGGAAGAAGCTCCTGGCTCCTGGCTTTGTTCGGATCAGCCCAGCTCCAGCCGTTACAGCCATTTGGGGAGTGAACCAGAGGATGGAAGACCTCTCTGTCTCTATCTCTCTCTCTAACTCTTTCAAATAAATAAAAATAAATCTTAAAAAATAAAATTATGCCTTAATATCAGGGTTAAAAAATCCCTTATATAACCATGCCAGATAAACAAAATATGACTGTCTCTATGGAACCATCTTTTCTACCCCCTACCTATCAGAAACTTTATTGTGATTGTATTTGTGGTAAAGAAATGTTACATGTTTGTGACTTTTATATATGCAACTGGTTTTTATTATTATTTTAAAAAATCTATTATTTTCATTTAATTTGAAAGGCAGAGAATAATCTTCCATCCTCTGGTTCACTGTCCAAATGCCTACCAGGCTGAAGCCAAAAGCCGGGAACTTGTTCTGAGTCTTCCGGTTGGATGGTGGACTCAAGTACCTGATGCCTCCCAGAGTGTGCATTAGTAGACAGCCAGAATGGAGAATAGAGCTAGGATTTAAACCCAAGCACTCTAATATGCAATGTTGGTGTTTCTAGCAGTGGCCTAACCAGTGCACCAAACAGGTGTCCTGGTATTTTCTTAATTATAATAGCATTTTCGTGCATTTGAAAAATATGTGTACTAAAATATATAAGCTTATGAATTATTACATATGGATTCACAGACCCCTTGTAATAACTCTGACCTCCCGGTAGGTTTTTCATGATTCATTACATAAAGGTATAATCTGATTGCCTTCCTCTTTTTCCTGCTTACTCTTAATCATCTGTAAACAGAAAGATGGCAAAGATAGTTTTAAAAATTTTTTTATTCAGAATATCAACAGCATTGAGGTAATAATTTAGAAAAAAATGGTTTTTCATTTTCTACTTCATTTGTTATGGTAGAAGGATAATAGTTGAAACATTTTATGTACAGGTATATTTGAATTTTTCTCATCTCTTATGGGTTTAATTTGTTTTTATAAAGGAACAGCAAGTGGTAATTGTGATGGTGTAAAATAATTTTAAGGCCTTTTTCTTTCAGAATACTATGTTGTGTCTTGTGTATGTCTGTGTGGTATACAAGTTTTCAATAAGATATTCCTTCAAGAACTTGTTAACTTGAAAAATCTGTGATCTTAATTGGTGTACAGAAGAATGCTATTGGGATTATTCTAGAAAGTTGTGAAAGTTTTGAAACAATTTGCCTCTTCATTGGGAAAGATACCTATTTAAATGATGCTTACAGTTTATGTAGTAGACATATTTTGGATTTTGTAAAAGGATAAGAGAACTCTTGAGTTTACATTTCATCGCTGATTATTTCTAGTGTCTGTTTTGTCTTATTTTTGAATGTACTCTGGATTTGTGTCATTGAAAAAATGGAAATGCTCCTTTTAGATTTGTCATTGACATTTCTTTTCTCAGTACTCCTTTGATAGTAATCTAGGATCCTTGTGAACTGGAAGACATCATTGTTCATGCAACGTATTATTACTGTACAGTTGGAATGTTATTGTGATAATCGATTTTCTTTTTATCCTTTCAGGGTTTGAAAGTATTCTTGAAGGGCTTTTTGGACCTGCATTGTTAAAAGATCTCAGTTTATTTAAAGGTATTCAAAATATTTTTGGTATTTCAAATTCTTTCTGGTAACACATGATATGTTGGTGGCTTAAGGTTTATTCATGGTTTCATGTGTGTTAAAACTTTATGTAAGCATCTTTTTGTGTTTAGTTGATACTGTTAATTTGTATGTATCATACAAACTAGTGAGCCGTTAAAAATTAACTGAAGAATTCATTTTAAGAGTCAAGAATTTTAAAACATAGAAACTGTCTACTGCTTAGTAAGATTTTTGTCAAACAGTATTTTTAAAATTATTTTTCATTTACTTTCTGGAAAGTTCTATTTTAAAATTATTAATTTATTACTATTTTTTTTGCAGAGTGTGACTCTGAAAGCATTTCTGATTGGACTTTCGATGAAAATTGTCTGTTCTGTTGCTTGAGAAGAGATAAAGTAAAGGTAATAAGAAGCTTGTAAAACTTTGTCTAGTATGATAAATAAAGGTTTTATTTTCAAAAATTTTGTTACTTTTTGGAGGATTGTAGTAAAATATATATATATATATTTATGAAACAGTTTGATAGTATGGGTTTTGAAACTTGAATGGTTTCTAGCATGTTGTTTATTCTGTTGAGATATATGTATTCCAACATATATCACCTTATTTATATAGTTCAGAAGACAGATACCTAGGTCTCAAACCGTTGTTTCTTTGAAAATATGAACTATGTGGTAATTCAAGTAAGAAGAGTTATTTGTAGTGCAGAAAGAGCAGTGACATAGATCTGGATCTAGCAGTTATTAATTACTGTGGATTTATGGAATATACAGTGGTTTATATTTTAATATCTGGTATGAATGCTCCTTTGAACCTTTGAATTTTTGTTTTTTCACTGTTTTGTATTAAACATAAACAGAATTTTTGTTTAGAAATATTTCAGTTCTTAAAAACATTTATTAATAATGGTATGCTGTTTGATGTTTCTTTTCCTGATACTTTTTTTATCCCCTGCTTTAAAGCCTTGGAAACATTTTGATTCCTTTTTCTCTCCTAAACACTAACTTCAGATCACCAGATCCTGGCAGTTCTTCTCTCATAAGGAATTCCATTCTTTTTCATTTCCACGGTTATCACCATAGTTCATAACGTTAGCATTTTTTCTGGACTACTATAATAACATGATTGTTCTTCTTGGTTTTCTTCAGTCTGTTAAATACTGCTATAAGATTAAACTCTCTCCTACCTTCACCCCTCAAATAGCAGAGAACTGTTAAACTGTGCTCAGTCTGCGCTGACTTTCTCATTATCTTCTGGATTCACTAGCCAAAAACTCAGTACCCTAATACCTTCCAAAATTCTGTCCACTGCATCTGTTAACGATGCCCCATTAATCTTCTGTGCAATTGCCTTTCAACTAGAATGGTCTGATTCGTCTTGGACTACACATTGTATACCTTTTCTCTTAATTCTCTTGCTTTTACCTTTTTCTTAAGACCATTGCTTCCTTATAAATGTTACATTTCTGTTCCCTTTGCTGGTGGAACCTTTCACACTGTTGAAGTACATTTTATCTATATCAATTATTTGTCAATTAATTTTTGTCTTTTCTTCCTCTTCTGTCTGAATTTTGTGTTCCTGACTTTATTAACCACTGAAGACTGGACCATGCCCTCTGCTTTATATCTCTTCATGTAGCCACTATGCCAGTATTTATCATTGTGGAGCAAGTTAAAAAGTAACAAGTTACATGAAAGCCAGCATTTAGTCAATTTAAGAGCTTCTTAAAGTTCTTTTTTGGCATCCTCTTGTTTTCTCCATGAAAATGTTGCTGTGACTATCTGGGATGGTTTTCATTGACTTAATGAGGAAGGTGTTTCTGAGGTTTAATGACTTTGAAAAGAGGGATCAGAAAGTAAAGTAACAATGTGTTGAGCAAAATTACCCATGAGGTTGAAGTTCATAATTGTAAAGTGTGTGTGTGAGTGTGCCTGCATGTTGTAGCCTTTTTTTTTTGGTAGATCTATTTTAGTTATTTGAAAGGCAGAGTTAGAGAGACACAGTGAAAGAGGGATTTCCCATACACTAACTGGTTCACTCCCCCAAGTGGCTGCAACAGCCAGAGCTGGACCAGCCTGAACCCCGAAGCATGGAACTCCACCTGGGCCTCCCAGGTGGATGGCAGCAGCCAACCATTCAGGCTATCATCCCCGTCTTCCCAGGCGCATTAACAGGGAGCTGGAAAGGAAACAGTAGTTGAGACCCAAACCATTGCTCATGAGGGATGCTGGCATTGCAGGCAGTGGCTTAACCTGCTATACCACAGTGCTGGCCCTATGGCTCTTATTTTTTTAAGTTTTTTAAAAATTTATTTATTTGTTTGAAAGGCAGTTACAGAGAGAAAGAGACAGTGGTCTAGAAAGAGAGAGATCTACCATCTGCTGGTTCACTTCCCAAATGACTGCAACATCTGGGGCTGGGCTAGGTCGAAGTCAGGAGCCAGGAACTTCATATAGGCCTCCACATAGGTGCAGGGGCCTAAGCACTTGGGCCATCTTCTGCTGCTTTCCTAAGTACATTATTAGCAGGTAGCTGGGGCAGAAGTGGAGCAGTCGGGACTTGAACTCTGTTGCCCATGTGGGATTCTGACATGGCAAGCGGCAGCTAAGCCACAATGATGACGTCTCCCTGTGGCTCTTTATTGGGCACATCTTTTAATAGGAGTTTTGATAGAACAGAAGAAAGAGTGATTATTTAGTCTTTTTTCATGATTAGGATTGGAAAGAAATTCATTCTCTGACTGATAATATAATAAATTAATGTATTGTCATTGAGTTATCTTCTGTATGAGGATAAAATATTGATACGAATATTTTTAGAAAAATACAGTAGTAAGAAGTCATAAAACAGTGTTAAATTTAAACAGTTTTTAAAAATTTTTTTTTACTTGACAGAGTTATAGACAGAGAGACAGATAGACAGAAAGGTCTTCCTTCTGTTGGTTCACTCTCCAAATGGGCGCAGCGACTTTGGCTGGCGCTGCGCCAATCCAAAGCCAGGAGCCAAGTACCTCTTCCTGGTCTCCCATGCAGGTGCAGGGCCCAAGCACTCAGGCCATCCTCCACTGCCCTCCCGGGTCATAGCAGAGAGCTGGACTGGAAGAGGAGCAACTGGGACAGAATCCAGCACCCCAACCGGGACTAGAACCCGGAGTGCCGGCGCCGCAGGCAGAGGATTAGCCTAGTGAGCCGCGGCACCTGCGTAAACAGTTTTTTTAAACAGTTGTTTTTACTGTTTGTAGTTCTGCAGTTTTGAGTTGATTTTCTAACTAAAAAGGATATTTTCATCTGGCAGTTCAGCTTGTTCTGGGAAAGATGTTTTTCTCCATTAAATGCTATACTACCTGTCTTTGGCATTGATTTTCAGAGATAAACCTTTCATCTATAATGAAAAATAGGAAAGGAGACACCCTAGATAATGTGAATTGTCAGGTGTATATTTTTTGTTGTGTTATATTAAAAGTGGCAATCCTTTCTATAGGCACCTGGAACATTTGGTCTGAGAGAGACAAGAATTTGGAAATAGAAGTTATTCACTGGTTGAGGCTTGCATTTTGAGACTGGTTTAAGAGTCTCCCCCAAAGGGGCCAGTGCCGTGGCGTAGCGGTTAAAGCCGGCGCCTGCAGTGTCAACATCCCCTATGGGTGCCAGTTCAAGTCCTGGCTGCTCCACTTCCAGTCCAGCTCTCTGCTGTGGCCTGGGAAAGCTGAAGATGGCTGAAGTCCTTGGGCCCCTGCACCTGCATGGGAGACCCAGAAGAAGCTCCTGGTTTCTGGCTTTGGATTGGAGCTGCCCTGACCATTGCAGTCATCTGGGGAGTGAACCAGCGGATGGAAGACCTCTTCCTTCCTCCCCCCTCCCCTCCCCTCCCCTCCCCTCCCCTCCCCTCCCCTCCCCCCTCTAACTTTGCCTTTCAAATTAAATAAATAAATTTTTAAAAATTCTCCCCAAAAGGAAATATATGGAGAATATGATAATAACCAGTAGGTGGCAGCATAGAGCATAATATTGGAATTGAGTTTGAGGTTGGGCTGTGGAAAAGCTGTTAGAAATAGTGCTCTGGGAAAGAGCTGGAAGTTACACTTTTTTTTTTCTTTTTTTAAGATTTAAAGTATTTATTAGAGTCAAAAGCCTCCAGCCAGAGCAGCATGGAGGGAGGTTTCCAAGAGAGAAATAAATCCAAAGGGACTGTTGTTTATTATTATTATTAATTGTATTTTCAGTGAATACTAAAGCTGTTAAAATAAAAATATGTAGGTAAAATTATGAAGTGACCTCGCCTCTGTCGGAAAACGAACAGGGATTCATCTAGATCAGTAGTTCCCTCTCATCCTTGGGGGATATGTTCTAAGGACCTTTTCACTTAAAAGAAGTGCTTTATGGATTCTCTTTGGCATATGCCAATGGCCTGCATCAAAACTGGCACTTTTGGACCATTATTAAGTACAATAAAGGGTTACTTGAACCCGAACTTGACTCTATTATGATAGTCAATCTGATAACAGAGGCTACTCAGTAACCAAGAGATAGGTGGTGTAATACAGCTTGGATGCACTCGACTAAAGGATGAGTCATCCCAGGCAGGATGGTCCAAGATATCATCGTGCAACTCAGAATAACTTAGGACACTGCTCACTAGTGTCAATGTCAGTGCTTCTAGGCTCCCTCAGTTGTCTAAGCTAGGAAATATGTATGCCTACTAAATTACACATCTGTATCCACTAAAAACCACATTATAGGACTTATGACTGCATCAGGCTGATAGTATGGAAGAGCTGATCTGAACTAGAGAGAGGGTACTGGAGAGATGAGAAGGATAAGAAATCACTTGTAGGATTTAATATTTTTTAAAAGTAGACTAGTTTCAAGCTATGAATCTGTTCTTGTACGTAACTGAAATAAGGGAAAATAGCTCTTCTAGACTACCAATAGCAAGAATGTTTTGTTAACTAAGGATGATGAGAGGTCAGATTGTTTTACCAAAACAAAAAATTAGCTTATGCTCTTGAGTTTATTATAAGACTTTAGTAGTTTAAATATTTGACTGATATCTTAGAAGAATATTTTGAGGAAGTTAGAAGTTGAGTTGTAATTTTTAAAGAATACATACTTCTAGAGAGGCACCCCCTGGGTGGAGCAGAGCATTTCTTTGTGGAAGTAGTGAGTGATCCGGCTGGAACTAGATTATAGATATCCTTCAGTGCCCAGCTAAGTCAGAAGTCATGTAACTAGATCCTTTTCATGTTTCTCTTTACTCCGTAATATTGTGTTTGCACTGAATATTTCATAACTTCTTCTGATTCATGAATATGTAACATTATGCTTTTTAAAAAAAATTTATTTGAAAGGCAAGAAAAGGAGGTCATGCTCTCCATTTCTCTGGTTCACACACACCTCAAATGCCTGCTGTGGCCCTTTGCCGCAGCTGAAGTTGGGAGCTGGGAGCTCAGTCACGTGAGCCGTCCCTGCTGCTTCCCAGAGTGTGCAGCAGCAGGAAGCTGGAGTCAGGAGCAGAGCTCGATGCTGAACCTCAGTGCTCTGATAGAGAGCGCCTGTATCTTAATCATGTCTTAACCACTGGACCAAATGCTCGCTATGTAACATTGTAATTTTTATTTTTTAAGTTAAATCTTTTAAAAATTTTAAAAATTTATTTATTTTTATTTATTTGAAAAACAGAGACAGATATTTTCCATTTGCTGGCCCAATCCACAAATGCCTACAACAGCCACCTTTTACTGTTGTGAATAATGCCATCGTGAACATAGGTATACAGAATCTCCTTGAGACCCTGCTTCTAGGGTGTGTACCTAGACATGATACATGGTAATTATATTTCTAAGTTTTTGAGGAAGTGCCAAATTCATCCACAATGACTATACCATTTTATATTCTTACTGACAGTAGAAAAGGTTTTGACGTTCTCCACATTCTTGCCCATGTTTGTTATTTTCTATGTGTTTTGAGTTTTTGTTTCTTCTTTTTTGGTAGGCATCCTACTGGGTGTGAGTTGGTATTTGCATTTTTCTAGTGGAAAGTGGTGTTGAATATTAATACCTTAACAGATGTGATTTGCACATATTCGCTCCCATTTTGTAAGTTACCTTTTCATTCTGTTGTTTTAAGTTTTTAGTTTTAGATTTAGTTTTTAAATTTTAATGTAGTTCAATTAGCATATTTTTACTTTCATTGTTTATTCTTTTAGTGTCATATTCAAAATAATCACCAAATCTAATGTCATGAAGCTTTTCCCCAAGTTTTCTTCTGAGAAGTTTATAGTTTTATTTTTTGCATTTAGGTCTTTGGTTGCTTTTGAGTTAGTTTTTATATATGAAATGTAAGGTAAGTGGCCTGTGTTTACCTGTGAATATACTTCCTAGCGGCACACCGGGTTCTAGTCCCGGTCGGGGTGCCGGATTCTGTCCCGGTTGCCCCTCTTCCAGGCCAGCTCTCTGCTGTGGCCAGGGAGTGCCGTGGAGGATGGCCCAAGTGCTTGGGCCCTGCACCCCATGGGAGACCAGGATAAGTACCTGGCTCCTGCCATCGGGTCAGCGTGGTGCGCCGGCCGCAGCACGCCAGCCGCGGTGGCCATTGGAGGGTGAACCAATGGCAAAGGAAGACCTTTCTCTCTCTCTGTCTCTCTCTCTCACTGTCCACTCTGCCTGTCAAAAAAAAAAAAAAAAAAAAAAAATCTTTTCCCTCATTGGATTGTATTGAAAAATCATCTGACTCCTGGCTCCTAGCTTTGGCCTGGCCCAGCCCCAGCTGTGTGGCCACTGGGAAGTGAATCAGTGGATGGAAGATCTCTCTCTCTAACTCTGCTTTTCAAATAAATAAATAAATCTTATTTTTTTTTTAATGTAAAAAGCACAATGATTGAAGAGGTTTTTTAAAAAAAGAAAATTGAGGGTCGTACAAACATTGAATTTTCAGCAAATAGGAAACCCTTGCAGGATAGATGTGGCACAGGAGCACCCACATCTCTGCTGGTTTGAGTCCTGGCTACTCCACTACTTGATGGCTCAAGGCTTTGGGCCTCTGCTACCCACATATGAGACCTGTATTGCATTCCAGGCTCCTGGCTTCAGCTTGGTTCAGCTGGGAGCTTTTGGGGAGGGAACTAGCGAATGGAAGATCTCTCTCTCTCACTGGCTGTCACTTTGCCTTTCAAGTAAATGAAAATAAATAAACAAAACACACACATACACACACACACACACAGAGATATACACATACAAAGAAACTCTTGCTATTGACAGTATGGATAGCTTGCATTTGTCTTCTAATATTAGATAGCTGTACCTATATAAGGGAGTAAAACTGTTAACTGCAAATACTGATTATAGATACTGACAAATTAACAAATGTAAAGGTAATAGCAGTCATTTCCAATGTACCCTTTAGATTGGTTTTGTATGATCAATAATAGCAATTAGATAAGCCAATAAAAATCATTCTTGGTAGGTATGTCGTACATTTTGAAAAGCAAAGCAAACTTTCAGTGTGTGTTCAGACTTCATTGTTTTCCTGTTCATTAACTTGATAACTTGACAAAACTGAAAATAGTATCAGCATATAGCAAAAATTGCATTAAGCATAATTAACGCTTTGTTTATGGAGAAAGCAGTAATTTAAGTGAAGTAAGGTTTCTTTTTAGATAATTGACCTTAAAGCATGTGAGCATTCAAAATGGTAGAGCCATTTCCCCTAAAACTTGCTGGCATTTACAGTAATAAGATGCAGGAAAATGGCATTTAAGTTACTGAGTTGCATCACATCAGCTCCTTTTAGCTCGTTGCTTGAAAAGTCAGTAAGCCATTAGGTAGTGGACATGGCTGTGGCTGTAAGTCCATGACCTGTTCTAGAGGTCTGAGAAGGCTCTTCTAACATAATTATAAAACTTGCCTATGTACACAGGCTTTAATGGTATGCATTCAAAACAATATTATCCAAATTTAGACAATCCAAGCACAAAGTGGCCTTTTAAACAGGAGGGACTTTAAACTGTTTCCCCTTCAGTCTTGTGTCATACGTTTGAAAACTATTTCATCTTGCTCCCTTCCCAAGTGAAATTTAGCATTTGGTCTTCTGTTTCCTTTCCTGAGATCTCACTTCTTAAAGAGCAAGTACGCAACTGTGTAAGTGTCCTCCAGTCATCCCACCCAGAACATCTGAACTCATAAGGGGACAAGTGTTAGTTACAAAAGAAACTTTAAGACATATTAATCTTTATTGCTTAAAATTTAACTTTACTGACTGTTGATTGCCCTAAGGACTAACTTCTACACTGACATAAATCTGTTACTTTATTTATTCAGTGTTGTATATCTCAAGGACCAAGGGACATACTTTATTATAGGTCTTCTGTCAGGGGTCAGCAAATTATGGCTTCTCACTAAATCTTCCCCACAGCCTGTTTATGTAATACCGTCAAGCTAAAGAATTGTATAAAAAGGACAGTTTGCCACAGCAACTGTGTATGGCCTGAAGAAACCAAAATATTTACTATTTGGCCCTTCACAGAAAATTTGTTACTGTTTTTATCATCTTTACCACGTCCTCGAAATATTAACAGAAGCCTAAAGGTTGTTAACTTCCATATCCTATGTATTTCTTTGCTCTTTATCTTCAAATTGTAGATCAGCAACCTGTAACAAAAATATGAATTAGTGATAGGGCAGCTGGGATTATGAATTAGAGGGTGGCGGGCACTAAAGGGATCTGGCTTATGGCATGAAAGTAGGACTTTGCATTTATCCATCCTAATTTTCTTTCTTAAATTTTGTTTTGGAATAATTTCACACTTGCAAAAAAGTTGCAAGAATACTAAAAATTTCTAAATCCTGCACCTAGATTCACTAATTGTTCACATTTTGCCACATTTACCTTACTATTCATTCTTGTTCTTTTTCATGGTTACTATGAACAGTGCACATATTTTCTTGAGCCTTGTAAGAAGTTACAGACACTGTATCACTCATACTTCTTTACTGATATTTCAGTATTTCTCTATTTCTTTTTTTTTTTAAAGTTTTTAATTTTTTTTCATTTCTTTATGGTGAAAATATTTTTTTAAACTTTTATTTAGTAAATGTAAATTTCCAAAGCACAGCTTATGGATTACAATGGCTTTTTCCCCCCCATAACTTCCCTCCCACCCGCACCCCTCCCATCTCCCGATCCCTCTCCCATTCCATTCACATCTAGATTCATTTTCAATTCTCTTTATATACAGAAGATCAATTTAGTATATATTAAGTAAAGATTTCATCTGTTTGCACCCACACAGAACATAAAGAGTAAAATACTGTTTGAGTACTAGTTATAGCATTAATTCACACATTGAACAACACATTAAGGACAGAGATCCTACACGAGGAGTAAGTACACAGTGACTCCTGTTGTTGACTTAACAATTTGACATGAGAGTATTTTAGGCATGGAAAGCCAAGACACTCTGGCCAAAAAAAAAAAAAAAAAGAGGACCTAAATAAAAGATCTCTGCCAGTGAGTGAATCCCAGTAGAAAGAACGGGCCATCAAAGAAGGAGGTACCGTCCTCTGATGGGAGGAGAGAACTTCCACTTTGACTATGACCTTGTCTAAATAAGATCGAAGTTGGCATACTCAGAAGGCTTCCATAGCCTTTGCAACTCATGACTAGAGCCTAGGGAGATTACTGACGCCATAAACAAGAGTGTCAAATTGTTAAGTCAGTTTGTTTTTTTTTGTTTGTTTGTTTCTTTTTTGTTGTTTGTTTGTTTGTGTTTTTTTTTGACAGGCAGAGTGGACAGTGAGAGAGAGAGAGAGAGAGAGAAAGGTCTTCCTTTGCCGTTGGTTCACCCTCCAATGGCCGCCGCGGCCGGCGCGCTGCAGCCGGCGCACCGCGCTGATCCGATGGCAGGAGCCAGGAGCCAGGTGCTTTTCCTGGTCTCCCATGGGGTGCAGGGCCCAAGCACCTGGGCCATCCTCCACTGCACTCCCTGGCCACAGCAGAGAGCTGGCCTGGAAGAGGGGCAACCGGGACAGAATCCGGCGCCCCGACCAGGACTAGAACCCGGTGTGCCGGCGCCGCTAGGCGGAGGATTAGCCTAGTGAGCCGCTGCGCCAGCCTGTTAAGTCAGTTTTATTTTTATTTATTTGAGAGTTACTTACAGAGGGAAGGAAGTCTTCCATCTGCTGTTTCACTTCCCAAATGACCACAACAGCTGGAGCTGAGCCTATCTGAAGCTAGAAGCCAGGTGCTTCTTCCTGGTCTTCCATGCAGGTGCAGGGGCTCAAGGACTTGGGCCATCTTCTGCTGCTTTCCCTGGTGCATTAGCAGGGAGCTGGATCAAAAGTGGAGCAGCCAGGACTTGAACTGTGCCCATATTGGATGCCAGCACTGCAGGCCGGGGCTCTAACCCACTGCACCACAGCACCAGCCCCTCTGTTTCTTTTTCCTTTTTTTTTTTTTTTTTTTTTTTTTTTTTGACAGGCAGAGTGGAGAGTGAGAGAGAGAGACAGAGAGAAAGGTCTTCCTTTGCCGTTGGTTCACCCTCCAATGGCCGCCGCGGCCGGCGCGCTGCGGCCGGCGCACTGCGCTGATCCGATGGCAGGAGCCAGGAGCCAGGTGCTTTTCCTGGTCTCCCATGGGGTGCAGGGCCCAAGCACCTGGGCCATCCTCCACTGCACTCCCTGGCCACAGCAGAGAGCTGGCCTGGAAGAGGGGCAACCGGGACAGAATCCGGCGCCCCAACCGGGACTAGAACCTGGTGTGCTGGCGCCGCTAGGCGGAGGATTAGCCTAGTGAGCCGCGGCGCTGGCCTTTTTTTTAAATTTATTTATTTGATAGGTAGAGTTACAGACAGACAAAGAGAAAGGTCTTCCTTCCATTGGTTCACTCCTCAAATGGCCACTACGGCCGGCGCTGTGCTGCACCGCAGCAATCCAAAGCCAGAAGCCAGGTGCTTCTTCCTGGTCTTCCATGCAGGTGCAGGGGCTCAAGGACTTGGGCCATCTTCTGCTGCTTTCCCAGGCCAAAGCAGAGAGCTGGATCGGAAGTGGAGAAGCCAGGTCTCCAGCCGGCGCCCATATGGGATGCTGGTTCTTCAGGC